GATAGAAGGTGGTGCTGTATCTGACAACAAGATATTGCTGTATCTGGCCAAAAGATGGTGGTGCAGTTTATGACAGGAGGTGGTACTGTATCTGACCAGTAGGTATTACTGTATATGACCAATAGACGGTGGTACAGTTTATGATAGAAGGTGGTGCTGTATCTGACAACAAGATATTGCTGTATCTGGGCAAAAGATGGTGGTGCAGTTTATGACAGGAGGTGGTACTGTATATGACCACTAGGTATTGATGTATCTGGCCAATAGATGGTGGTACAGTTTATGACAGGAGGTGGTACTGTATCTGACCACTAGGTATTACTGTATCTGGGCAAATGATTGTGGTATAGTTTATGACAGGAGGTGGTACTGTATCTGACCACTAGGTATTGCTGTATCTGGGCAATAGATGGTGGTACAGCTTATGACAGGAGGTGGTCAGATATAGCACCACCTCCTGTCATATTTATGACAGGAGGTGGGACTGTATATGACCACTAGGTATTGAGGTATCTGGCCAATAAATGGTGGTACAGTTTATCACAGGAGGTGGTACTGTATCTTACCACTAGGTATTACATGACAGGAGGTGGTACTGTAGCTGACCACTAGGTATTGCTATATCTGGCATAGAAGGTGGTGCTGTACCACCATCTTTTGCCCAGATACAGTAATACCCAGTGGTACAGTTTATGACAGAAGGTGGTGCTGTATCGGACCACTAGGTATTGATTTATCTGGCCAATAGATGGAGGTACAGTTTATGACAGGAAGTGGTGCTGTATCTGCCCACAAGGTATTACTGTATCTGGGCACAAGATGGTGGTACAGTTTATGACAGCAGGTGGTCAGATATAGCACCACCTCCTGTCATATTTATGACAGGAGGTGGTACGACCAGAAGTGGTGCTATATCTTACCACTAGGTATTGCTGTATCTAGCCAATAGATGGTGGAACAGTTTATGATAGGAGATGGTGCTGTATTTGACCGCTGGGTATTGCTGTATCTGGCAAAAAGATGGTGGTGCAGTTCATGACAGGAGGTGGTACGACCAGAAGTGGTGCTATATCTTACCACTAGGTATTGATGTAGCTGTTAATGACAGAAGGAGGTGCTGTATCTGACCACTAGGGATTACTGTATCTGGGCACAAGATGGTGGTACAGTTTATCACAGGAGGTGGTACTGTATATGCCCACTTGGTATTGATGTATCTGGCAAATATATGGGGGTACAGTTTATGACAGAAGGTGGTGCTGTATCTACTAGGTATTGATGTATCGTATATGACCACTAGGTATTGAGGTATCTGGCCAATAAATGGTGGTACAGTTTATGAGAGGAGCTGGTGCTGTATCTTACCAATAGGTATTACATGACAGGAGGTGGTACAGTATCTGACCACTAGGTGTTTCTGTATCTAGCCAATAGATGGTGGAACAGTTTATGACAGGAGCTGGTACTGTATCTGACAACAAGGTATTACTGTATCTGGCCAATAGACGGTGGTACAGTTTATGATTGAAGGTGGTGCTGTATCTACTAGGTATTGATGTATCGTATATGACCACTAGGTATTGATTTATCTGGCCAATAGATGGTTGTACAGTTTATGACAGGAAGGGGTGCTGTATCTGACCAATAGATGGTGGTACGGTTTATGACAGGAGGTGGAACTGTATCTGACCACTATGTATTACTGTATCTGGGCACAAGATGGTGGTACAGTTTTTGATAGAAGGTGGTACTGTATCTGACCAATAGATGGTGGTACAGTTTAAGACAGGAGGTGGTACTGTAGCTGACCACTAGGTATTGCTGTATCTAGCCAATAGATGGTGGAACAGTTTATGACAGGAGGCGGTGCTATATCTGACCACTAGTAGTTTTTGTATCTAGCCAATAGATGGTGGTATAGTTTATGACAGGAGGCGGTGCTATATCTGACCACCTGCTGTCATAAACTGTACCCCCATCTTTTGCCCAGATACAGCAATACCCAGCGGTCAAATACAGCACCATCTCCTATCATAAACTGTAACACCATCTTTTGCCCAGAAACAGAAAAACCTAGGGGTCAGATACAGTACCCCCTCCTGTCATAAACAGTACCACCATCTATTGGTCAGATACAGTACCTCCTCCTGTCATAAGCTATACCACAATCATTTGCCCAGATTCAGTAATTCCTAGTGGTCAGATACAATACCACCTCCTGTCATAAATATGACAGGAGGGGGTGCTGTATCTGACCACTGGGTATTGATGTATCTGGCAAATAGATGGTGGTACAGGTTATGATAGGAGCTGGTGCTGTACCTGACCACTAGGTGTTTCTGTATCTAGCCAATAGATGGTGGTACAGTTTATGACAGGAGGTGGTACTGTATCTGATCACTAGGTATTACTCTATCTGGCCAATAGACGGTGGTACAGTTTATGATAGAAGGTGGTGCTGATTACTGTATCTGGGCAAATGATTGTGGTATAGCTTATGACAGGAGGAGGTACTGTATCTGACCACTAGGTATTACTGTATATGACCAATAGACGGTGGTACAGTTTATGACAGGAGGGGGTACTGGATCTGACAACAAGATATTGCTGTATCTGGCAAAAAGATGGTGGTGCAGTTTATGACAGGAGGTGGTACTGGATCTGATCACTAGGTATTACTCTGGCCAATAGATGGTGGTACAGTTTATGATAGAAGGTGGTGCTGTATCTGACAACAAGATATTGCTGTATCTGGCCAAAAGATGGTGGTGCAGTTTATGATAGGAGAAGGTGCTGTACCTGACCACTGGGTATGGCTGTATCTGGCCAAAAGATGGTGGTACAGTTTATGATAGGAGCTCGTGCTATATCTGACCACTAGGTGTTTCTGTATCTGGCTAATAGATGGTGGTACAGTTTATGATAGGAGCTGGTGCTGTATCTTACCACTAGGTATTACTGTATCTGGCCAACAGATGGTGGTACAGTTTATGATAGGAGCTGGTACTGTATCTGACCACTAGGTATTGCTGTATCTGGCCAATAGATGGTGGTACAGTTTATGACAGGAGTTGGTGCTGTATCTGACCACTAGGTATTGCTATATCTGGCCAATAGATGGTGGTACAGTTTATGACAGGAGGTGGTGCTGTATTTGATCACTAGGTATTGATGTATAAGGCCAATAGATGGCTTTATATCTGACTAGTAGGTATTGATGCATCTGACCAGTAGGCATTGCTGTATGTGGCCAGAAGGTGGTGCTATATCTGCCGCCATTGTTTTATGCACAGCATTCATAAACCCATCCGCACCATTTTTATCTTCTTTACCTTTTTCTGTTTTCCATTGTCATTTGTCACTTTTGTTGTCATACAATCTCACTAGAAGTGGCCGTAAACTATCTGTAGCCTATCTATACACTATATTATCTATTTATTTAGATGAAATATATATTGTAAACATCCTTGTGCTGTATGTGAATATATTTTTAAAATAAATTATACAAAATTGGGACACTCATTCATGTCCTATGATAAAGATAGTATATTCCTTGTTCAGTATTCCAGTGCATAGTACCAATACCGTACCCTATACATTGTGTGGCTCTTTTAACCGCATTACTTCCCAAGTCTGTTAAAATGTTTACTTTAAGTACTGAAGTTTTGATTCATTATTGCTTTAACATAAGTAGGTTTAAAGTACATTCATAAGCGATTCTTTGAATCAAAATGTGGTATAATTTTTATTTTTTTAAATGGCGTAAAAACTGTGTTTGTCATATAGCCTATTTATTGTCTACCTTTCATTCCTCTTGTGATTAATTTCATAAAAGCAGATTTACATGGAACCACACAATAGGGCTAAACCTAGCGTTGGGTCCCTCAACTGTTCTACCCTACACTGACCTTAACACATCATTTTCTTGTTAATCCATGTTACTTATAGGTGTGAGTGTTTATGGAAGCTAGAACATTTTGAAATTTTCCCCACTACATAGCAAACTTGACAACTTTTTGAAATCTCCATGGGGGAGATTACGCATGCTCAGAATTAAAACATAAATAAAATGTGGTACAACTCGGTCACAAGCCCGGTGTCCTACCACAACACTACCGCGCCTCCATCTTTATATTGAAGATATTAAGGGACCCTTTTGATAGCGGTGATGTTTTTATGCACAAGGAAATTATGATAAACATATGTCTTTTGTGTGTGAAATTTTAATAAAGCAAATGAACAGCAACTTCAGGTCTGAAAAATACCCAAATGTTCCTGAAACAGAAGTTACAAAGTTTGAATTTGGTATATATCTTATGATACTGCATTGTCCTAACTTGCCCTTTTTCAGGGGGGCAGCAAATTGATTGGTTTTAATTTACATATTTTTTTCCCGAAGTGTAATACAATAAAAATAAGTACAAGAGCTATATTTTAACTGTTGTTACCATGGCAACTCAATGAACAGGATTATGTTAAAAGTTATCACAATTTACCCAGTAGCTTTATGAAAATCAACAGGACAACTTGTAACCAAGTGTCCTTAGGGAAACCTGATCAGGTCAGCTTACTTGACTCTTTCTTTTCTCCGCGCACATTCCTTGTCACGCATTCACTACCCAGGGGAGACAACTCCTGCTTGTAACCCTAGCACATAATCTTTTCTTTTAATATTGTAAGTTTTTTCAATATCCAACTTTTTTAACTTAATTGCAATGATTAGAAAAAAATAACATTTCAAATATGTAAAAATTTATATCATGTATAATACTGATCATTTCAGATTTAAAACACGCTGTTTTTGGATTAAAATAGATGATTTAATAGAATTCACACATTTTTGTTCAGTTATGGCTTATTGCTTAAGGTGTTTTAGTTTAGAATTTTGAAATTTCAGCATTTTAATAACGTGTGTAGATTTAACTATTAGACAACATGAACTTTGCAGTAAGATCAGTTTCACACTAACCTGTAACTAGGTCGCTGCTGCTCTGTTTCAGGAACATGACCGTGCTCGGGCCGACGGTGTCGATCCTCTTGACCTTGACAATAAGGAAGAGGTCGCTTCATCACAGCAGCAGCAGCAGACCCTCCAGAACGGTCAAGGAAATGGTACCAACTATGGCACGATTCCAAACGGTCAAGATACAGGTCATGATGACGGTAGGCATTCCTGATCACCCCACCACAGAACATGAGTGTCCCATTCTGTGACAACTCCATGTCAAAGCTCCACCATCTTCATTTCTTAGCAAATTTTTATGAATTTTTCTAGTTTTTACACAGAACAAACAATGGCGACTGGTAGGAGGTATCCTACCACTGCTGCTGATTATTGTATTTCCCTTACTTCTATTTGATGTGGACAATTCCTACTTTCATCAAGGGCTGTCCTGAAATGACTATTATTGTAAGACCCTGTCTGTAGAGGTGGGTTACATGGGGCCCAGATGTTGGGAGTTGAATCAGCACACCAAGGCTCAAACTTGTACTATCCCATCAGATTCTTTACCTTATACAGCTGACCTCAGCTGCATCCTCACTGTCTCACAACATTCCTTCCAGAAAAACTCCCCCACCCCCTGTTCACCTTCCCCCTACAAACTGTTCTCTATTCCCCCTGATAAACATACCTTGCTTAATAATACTGATGATGAAGATCTTTTGAATCAATTCACCAAAGCCTTTTCCAAAAGATTTTAAAAGATTGCTCAATATTTTGTTTAGAAGAGATTTATTTGATCCCAACTGCTGTTTTGCAGATGATCCTGACTTCAATGCGAAAGAAGCCAAAAAGTTTGAAGCCGCTCTGAAGAAAATGGAAAAGCAGGATGCCAAGGGTGATAAAAAGTCCAAGGGGTCTAGTCTAGCCTCCAAACTGTCACCCAAATCTCAGAGGAAGAAGGAGAAAGCAACAAATTCCACTGCCCAGCTCAAGGTACACTGTTATATTGTGTGTGTGTTGGGATGTGTGTTGTCAGCTTTGTTATCTAGATTGTTATAGTCACATTCTTATTGTGTTGAGTTTTATATGTATTGCATTTTGTGGAAAAAAATGAGAAAGATTTTGTCGTTTGACTTAAGGTAGAGAATCCAAGAGGTCTGTGTTGTATCTCCAAAATATAAGAATTTCAATTTGTTTAGCATTTTTCGGACTTTGGATTGCTAATATAGCAAAAGTATAAATTACAAAACAAATATGTTTATTATATTTTTTTCACAAAAACAATTTTGTGTTGGGATGTGATCCCCAAACCTTAATTACACAGGGCGGAGCATATCTAATACACTACCAGACAGGATTAGAGTTAATACCTCTGCAACATTACTTTCAAATAATTTCAAAATGTCTGAATTTCCATTGACCTATAAGTGTCTTCATATGAATATAGAGGAAATAGCAGGAGAAACCTGATGGGACACTACCTTAATCACCTTTCGACTTTCCCTTCACATTATCAGAATTACAATGTTCTTTTTTGAAAAAATAAATGAATTGATAATTCCTTACCATGTAGATGTGTAAAGTATTTAAGGCTGAATGTTACATGTATATTAAATGTTGTAGGAATTATTTTTTCTAAAAGAATTCCACACCACACCTTTGAAAGAAAACATTGGTTTCTCAAGGAAATCTTAGATAATACTATCGTATTACATAATTATAAAGGGAGAGAACTCTAACACAAACCACAGATATATGTTAGATAGTATTTAGCCTAAATTAACTGTAAAAAATGTCTTGGTTTATGATGTGGGTCCATTCTGTCAAAGATATAAAATCTTTATGACAATAAAATCACTTTTACATAGCGGCGACATACCTTCCAGGTAACTAAGTCTTACCTCAGGGAATGTTGGTGATGGTTGACATCGTGTTCCAAGTCCTAAGGCAGTGTAGATTCGATCTTTACCGACATTGAACTTGTGATATTTCATCTAGGTTTCAAAGGAGTATAAATACTCTAGTCCGAAATTTCTCCAAATCCTGCATCTTGTTTTTGTGATATTTTCCAGATGTTTTGAACAAATAGAAATTACATCGGCCCTTGGCAGCCTCATTTGAATAAAATTTCCCATACCTAAATTTTGAAAATAGGATCTCGCCATATTGATAATTGTACAGTAAAACATATTTAGTCAGGACCTCCAGAAAAAAAAGTAAATGACAGTTCATTTCATTAAAGTGAAAAGTACCATATTTATCCAGCAATAAGCCCATGCCTGGTAATAAGTCCACCATTGTCCTCATCAGTTGAGTAGAAATACCAACAAATTCTACATTATTGTCCTATAATTAGCCCATATCCTTCAAGTCAGAGATTATATGTTGGCTCCCTAGCTTATTGCAGGATAAATACTATATGGATTCTCTCCCCCTCCCCCAACCCCCGCCCCCCTTTTCTTGACTATTTTAGTTATAAATTGTAAGAATTTACAAAATATATATAACATTTATACAGAAAAAGATTTTTTTTGTTTTTGCTAAAGCTGTAATAAGGCAAAAATGCAAACAAATTTAGTAATATCATGATTACTTGTAAGGTTATATTTGCATGTTTTTATGATAGGTTTAAATCTCCTGTAAAACAGCTCCAGTTAAAATTCTTGTTATTTCACAGTAAAGATATATTAATTAATGTTCCTTAGATTGAATATATTTATTTCATGGATACTTGCATTTTCAAATCACTTTGTTTTGTTTTCCTTCCAATTTATGTTTTAAACATATGTGTCATGTCTCCTATTTATTGTCAATTTATTCTGAATTTCACCCCAGAAACAAAGGGAAAATTGTTCATAACAGATTCCCCTAAAGAGTTAGTGGGAGTTATCTCCCTTCCTACAATGTTGAGGTTTGACATGACACCTGTGTAAAATTAACTTTAAATTTCTAAGTTTATTTTGATTATTTTTTAGTTCCATCTTTTCCATAGCTTTTACTTTTGTGGTCATTTTTATATTTAGGTTTGCATGTATTTGTTGTTTTTGTTTAGACTATTTCCTCTGGATTGTTATCGTCCAATTTCCACACGTTTGTCAATAAAGCCTTTCAATCAGATAAGGATGACACAATTAAATGTGAGGAGGAAAAGCCAAGGTGTACTTTACTGAAGGTAAAAAAAGTCGAGCATCAAGGTGACGGTATTTTTACCTAGATTATGATTGGTGACAGAATTTGTAATTTCCTGAACCATTAAATATAAATTGATGACAGTATTTGTGAGTGTACAGTACTTACCTGTATCATCAGTTATGATTGGTGACAGTATTTGTGAGTGTTCAGTACTTACCTATATCATCAGTTATGATTGGTGACAGTATTTGTGAGTGTACAGTACTTACCTGTATCATCAGTTATGATTGGTAACAGTATTTGTGAGTGTACAGTACTTACCTGTATCATCAGTTATGATTGGTGACAGTATTTGTGAGTGTACGGTCGTTACCTGTACCATCAGTTATGATTGGTGACAGTATTTGTGAGTGTACAGTCACTACCTGTATAATCAGTTATGATTGGTGACAGTGTTTGTGAGTGTACAGTACTTACCTGTATCATCAGTTATGATTGGTGACAGTATTTGTGAGTGTATAGTCGCTACCTGTATCATCAGTTATGATTGGTGACAGTATTTGTGAGTGTACGGTCGTTACCTGTACCATCAGTTATGATTGGTGACAGTATTTGTGAGTGTACAGTCGTTACATGTATCATCAGTTATGATTGGTGACAATGTTTGTGAGTGTACAGTACTTACCTGTATCATCAGTTATGATTGTTGACAGTATTTGTGAGTGTACAGTACTTACCTGTATCATCAGTTATGATTGGTGACCGTGTTTGTGAGTGTACAGTACTTACCTGTATAATCAGTTATGATTGGTGACAGTATTTGTGAGTGTACAGTACTTACCTGTTTCATCAGTTATGATTGCTGGGGTTTTTTCTGTTTGTTCAGTTTTTTTAGTGTTTTTTTTAGTAATTATTTGTGATGTATTTAGGTGAATTGTTTTCGGAATCTTCAAACATTATACTAAACAATGCTTGGAATGTATGTGTAGTAATATTTTCTCTTGTTGAATTTTTATTTACCATGTTATCTATAATTTGTGTTTGCTGAATGTTAAATATTGTGGCTACTTAAAGATTCATTTGATGTTATAGAAATATGGCGTAAGATATTTTGTTATATTTATTCAAATCAGAATCAGGTTCTCATATTTTATACTTTATTATAATGGATATTAAGAGCAAATTGCAAAATGTACCTTGAAAATACTTTTCAGGGAGAGGGTATGATGTTTGTTTGGAAAATGGTTATAAGAAAGGAATGATAACATAACTTCAATCAAAATTTGCTTTTTACATGACAATTACTTGAGGGGGTTTCAGAAGAAGAAAAAAGTAAAATGCTAAATACTTGTTACAGGGAAATACTCATTTAAATTTTGATTAAAAATTTCCTGTTTTCATGTACTTTTAATGTTGATGAATAAGAAAAAAATATCTTGGTCCGGGTATATGATGTCGGGCAAAAAGTTTTTTGTGTTTCCATATGTTTTCAGGAAGTTGTCTCCCTTTCACTGTTTGTATATATTACAAATTTGGCCAAATCAATGTCAAAAAGACATGGAAAATGATCATATTTCAGCAAAAGTATATTCATTCCGTGCTTATTTTTTATATCTTAAGTTCATGTATTTTACTTTGATTAGTTGAAAACATTATTTTAAAATGGAGAAGATGTTCCTTTACCATTATTGACCAAAACAAATAATTACTAGATAAATGGGGTATTTATTGATTAGCAGAACACTCCATCTTGTTGCTGTGAACTTTAACCTCTGACCTTTGACTTCTAACCTCAAGGTGTTTCCCTGTGAGTTGGAAAGTCTTAATGACTTTAGTAACTTCAAGGATTGGCTGCACACATTTGAGTTGTACCGCGGCAAGAAGACCGGCAACGATGACACGGACGAAAGCCGAGTGGTTGGCAAGTTCAAGGTCAGTCCTTAAGGTTATGATAACACTTTCAGGTCTGATGATTCATTTTGTCAATTGTGTTAATTGGCGCTAGAATTTTGTTTCATAATTTGTGTTTTTAATTACCTGAATTTGTGCAGTAAAATACATAGTTTCAGGAATGTATAATCCATCTCTAGGTCCATTAAACTGACCCATTAACAAATAAAAACCAGTTCTAATGACTCAATTTGTCCAGTTCAATTTCCAGTTTGCAGAAAATGTGTCTGTTTTGGTAATTTTTGAATTATTCAAAAGGAAGAAGACATTTTAAAATTTTACAATTTCAACATTATAAAATATCTAGATTCCTATAGTTTTACTACTGACTTTTTCAAAGTTGAACCCCTGGTCTGTTTTCCAAAAGATGAGTGCTTTTCAGCCTTAGCCTGTTTAATACAGTACGTTTGCTCTCTATTAAATCTGTTTCTAAACAAACAAAAATTGTATCAAATTTCATTTCTTTCCATTAAGAATAATAATACTTACACAATTTGAAATGGAAAACTACCTGCAAACAAGTTTCAAAAACTTACATTATTTATAAAATAATGACTGATACAATTAAAAGGAAATGTGCCTTGAGAAGATAATATTTTATGCGGTACTGTAACTGAGTTTTTATGTGTTTCCTAGGGATCACTGAAGATCTACAAGATCCCCCTCCCAGATGACATTGAGGACACAACAGTGACAGGTGGTGACCCCTCCCTAGGACTGTTCCAGGGTCTCCCTGGCAACGACCCCATCAAAGTGCTAGTCAGAGTCTATGTTGTAAAGGTAAGACTTTCAATACCTCTGCACAAAAAAGTTTTAGTTGAATGTTTGTGAATAATTTAGTAAGAGTTGTCTCCCTTCGACCATCATAATTTTGTTGGAAGTCTGATTTTCTCTTCAGTAGGGTGTGGTGTCAGTGGTTGTCTCCCCTTGACTACTCGGGCACATTTCAACACCTGCAGGTTACCCAATATTTACGTCAGTGTCTCTTGTGTCAGCCATTATGTTCTCAATCTGTCTATCCTCCTCTGTCTCGACTGCTCCTACCTTTGTGTAGTATAAGTCTAGCCACAGAGACACACGCCCTCACACACACACATATAAACCCCCGCCACTGCTCATTATGGGGTATACGTTTCAAATTTTACACCTCCGGTTTTATTTGTAATTTTGTAATTGGCAAGAGGTTCTAATGATGGTAATGGGCTGAGTTGATCCCTTAAAATATATTATGACAGTAATTTGAAGATATGTGTAATGTTCTGCCTATAGCAGCTCTCAAGTCCATCTGCTGTAATTGAGCAAACCCTCCCCAGCTAGTCGCAATATACTCTCTCCACGGCTCTAACACCTAACTCCATTTTATATTTGTGAACTTGAGAGAAAAAAAATCAAATTGAAGTCGTATAAAATCTTATGAGTACAGCAGCATACTAGCATGGAAATGTGGGCAAAATTTAACATTTGTCTAGGGTAGACACAGGCAGGAGCAACAGAGCAAATGTCTAAACACGGAATATCCGATAAACCTGCCATGTTTCATATTTCTACAACTACACTGTATATTAAAAACAATTTTGTTTGTAGAAATTCTGATATAATCAGTTTCGAACAATTCCTTGTTATCATGGAGCAGAAAGCATCTAAGCTACTTACCGAACTTATTAGATGACTTTCCCTGGATACAAACATGTGAATGTGTGGAACAGATAAAACATTGTTTGATAACACTCAATAGATTTGTAGATGTGGTCAGTATTTACCAGAATGTGATTTGTGACCCAGCTTCTTCTTTACAAATTCTACAGGATCTAGCATCACAATGAGTTCTTTTTTGTGTGTGTGTGAAGTTAGCAGGATGCCAATTAAAAATCCTCAATTTGGAAAATAATTATATTTTAGGCAAATGACCTACATCCTGCAGATATGAATGGAAAGGCAGATCCCTACCTGGTCATCCGACTTGGTCAAACGACCATCAATGACAAGGAAAACTATCTCTCCAAGCAACTCAACCCTGTTTTTGGCAAGTAAGTATCACCGTTATTTCTAGACACCTCTCTCCTGACCCGACAAACCAATCTACATTATATACCCCCTCTCCTGACCCGAAAAACCAATCTGCATTATATACCCCCTCTCCTGACCCGACAAACCAATCTACATTATATACCCCCTCTCCCTTCACCCCTTCAATCGCCCGGTCAGATCAATCATAACCAAAATAAAATGTTGTATTTTAAAAAAATCAGTTTTTGTTACTTTTTTCAGAGCAAGAAAAAATATTTTGTCTTTATTTTCATGTAATTTAACAGTTTTTGCTGTGCCTGAAACAGCCAATACACAATCTTAAAAGATGTACAGAAAATTGATATGAAGACCATTGAAAGCTTGTAACTGATTCAGGTCAGACTATGAAGGATCTGGTTTTGTTACTTACCAGTTCCTGTTATACCGAAAAACATGTATCGCAGAGTAATGCAGTGTACTGTTAACATCAGAAATTACCATGGTGTTTATTGTTTATTAATTTACCTTAACTTTAGTAATTTATATTTAATTTAATCTTATAACCCTCTTAATGAAAATATATTATTGTGTTATAATGTTTTAAAATTAAAATTCATATTTAAAATTATGTATGTGTTGAGATAAATATTTTTATTTATAAAATGAATATAAAAATCTTTTTGCTTCTTCATATCTCAAACTCATGTTCATTTACATTATATGTACAGTATCTGTTATACAGGGGAGGGCTTTCTTTCACTGAATAACCCAAATAAAAATGTTGAGCATAATCTTCTTCTTTTAATAAGGCTATATAATATTTCTTAAGATGCATTTCTAACTTGAATTGATATTTCAGACAGAGTTCAGTTATTAGAACACAAAAAGATATAAGCAGAATTCTACTGATAGAAAATATACATATTTTTCAAGCAACAGTTAACATTAAATCAAGACTTAATTTGTGTCCTTTTTAAGATATGCTATAAAAATGTCTGCATTAATTATTTCTGTGAAAATGTAAATAGAAATTATGAAATTGCAACTAAAAATAATTTATACAAAAGTCTTTTCAAAGGCATTTATCATTGGTTCAGTTTATGAACAGATTATATTTCTGTGATTTTTCAAATTTTCTAGGTTATTTTATATTCTTTTTCTTATCTTTGATTTTTTAAATATTGAATCGTTAAGTGCTCAAACTTGATAAACCCCAGTGAAGTCCTTTAAAAAATTCTACGGCCGCCCGCTGTTGGTTTGTCTATGTGAGCCATCAAACAGCCGTTCATAACAGCAACAGGCCCCCTTCACGGCCAATTTCACCTGTGTATACGAGATTGTTTAAATGTTCTGTCCCATTTTTTGTTAAAACACTATCCCCACAAGTCTTTTGACAAAAAAAAAACATGTTCTGTATCTGTTAAATCAGATGAATATACATTGTCTGTTGAGTTTTACTGACTTATACCCACATGTGGGCGGGGAAGATATGCAGCTTGTACTGTAGAAGTACCAGGTCTTTTCCATGATAATATCAATTTGATTATAAAATTTGAATTTGATATCATTCTACATAAGAAAGTTTCATTTGATCAATAAACATTTTTTTCTCTGTATAAATGTTGTCTGCTTACCTGTACATAGTTGAGAAGCTACTTGGACATAATCATATTTTCATGTGTGCCGTGAATTTCTTTATATGTTGTAACTATTTAATATAGTAACTTTAATAAATTATTTTTGAGAATTTAAATAAACAAAAAAAGATCATTGCAGAACATTGGACATGAGCATGGCAAATCTTTTAAACTATTATTTTTGTTAATTTTACTTAATAACTAAAAACAAAATTGTTTAGAATTTGTAAACATCAGAAGAAAGCACATAGATCAGGTTCCTTGTAACTAGGGACACACTCTGAGTAACTAGGGACACACTCTGAGTAACTAGGGACACACCCGGAGTAACTAGGGACACACCCAGAGTAACTAGGGACACACTCTGAGTAACTAGGGACACACTCTGAGTAACTAGGGACACACTCTGAGAAACTAGGGACACATTCAGTAAGTTGGGACACACTCTGAGTAACTGGGTACACATTCAGTAACTTGGGACACACCCGGAGTAACTAGGGACACACTCTGAGCAACTGGCTACACATTCAGTAACTTGGGACACACTTGAAGTCAATTTAGATGAACTTCAGATAGTTTTGGACACAATCCCTGTAACTGGCTTTGGACACCTCAAGTCTACCTGGGACACTCTTGAAATAACTTTACTAGGGATGACTTCTGAACTTAGGACATATTCAGGTGTTGATAACAATACTTTTCTAAGCGTTAACAGTTCATGGCATAAAGATTAATAAAGCAGATGGATCAGGACATGTCTGAGAGAGTGTGAACTCTGACTTTGGAAAAATGTTAATGTCTTTGAAATGCCCCCCTGATTGGTCAGTTGTATCTACACCCTCCTCCATCCCTACACTCCAGTTTACCTTTTCTGTAAATGTTCATTACCCCCAACCCCCACTCCTCTTCCCCAGTCTCCACCACCCTAAAACACCCCGTCCGCCCGCTACCCCTAGAGCAGCCTTGCCTATACTGTACTGATAAATGGTACAAACTGAAGGTTTTGTATCCCAGAGTAAGCAAGTAATAACAAAATGTTGTGGCCTAATAACTACGGTCTGTAATTTTATTTCCAGCTTTTCATACCTGAGCATTGAGTAATCTGATATTTACATATGTACTTACCTGTAACTTTTACACCTGGTCTTACATATCCGAACTTTCTATTTCAGTCTGAATCATATTCTTGTTCAAACAACCAGTTAATGAGAAATGTCCTTTTTATTCTGAAACTTATTCAACATTACTTAGATAAATTATTTTCCTTTTCGTATATCTTACCAAGTTACAATGTTAAATTAATATACTATTCTGACAAAATTTATAGGTTTTTAAAATAACATCTATTTTTTTTAGCTGGTTGCAAGCATGCATGTCTTTAGAATCTGTTTAAAATTCATTTAAAAAGCGACTAGAAAAATTCTCAGGAGATATTTTGAAAATTATCAGTTCTACATAATGGTAAATTTTACTTGCAATTAACTTGTGATTTAATATACAATTTTGAAAATCACTTTAATTATTTGATAAATTTTAATTAAATATTCAAGTATTAACTAAAATCTCCCTGATTTAGATAAGAGAAAATAAAATGATAAAGTGGGAAAAATTGTACCCCCATGTTTTTTTGAATTCATTAAATAATGAGAAATAATTGATTCATAAAAACGTGAAGCAGTAACTGATAGAAAGACTAACAGATAATGATCGGCCCACATGTGAAGGTTCCCTTGTTCATACCGTAATTTTTTTTTTACGTGCATAATGTTTGGAACAGATATCTGTTAACGAGCTTTAATTGTTTGCAAATTTTCTTGAATTGGCCTAAATGTTTTTGTATGCTTTTTAAGTTTTACAGATTAAGATAATTTATAAGTGTGTGTCATTTAGATATAGTTTTCACATATTTCGTGCAGTAAATGTTCTTTCTGTGCGTACACTGTTACGAAAAAAACCTTTACACAATAACCTGTTCGGCATAGCTATGTAACGTAACATGTCAGTATACCAGAAACATGTCGTACCATTTGTTTTTCTTTTTATACAGAAGTTTTTATTTTAGGATTTCCTTACAGTGAAATGGGCTCGCTTCTTATTTAAATTATTTATTTTTCAAATATAGAATTATCTCTCCATCACAAGTTTAAATATTTCGGCTTTTATGACAGTGAATATGGCGGGTGTTCAGCGAGTGAATTTTTTTACCTGTGAAACATTGTTGTATATTTCCTTGACACTGTTTAGAGACACTAATCAAAGCTTGTGATTTGTACTGGAACAAATTATTTGTTCAGTAACTGTGTATTTTCCCTTGTTATGGTATACATTATGTTTTAAGCCTGTCAAGAAAAAAAAATGTTTTCAAGTTGTGTGATATTATAAACCTTATTCTTCCCAGTGTTTCCATATTAACGTTGAGGTTTATTAACATTAATGTCTCCAAACATCAATGTATCCAAACATCAATGTATCCATGTTATAATCAATGTTTTCATGTTTTTATGAATGTCTCCACACTATCTCTTTTACCATTAACTCCTCATTTTTCCATGTTCCAATGTTCACCTATGTAATTTCAAAAATTAACATTAAAATTTATTACAGATATCAAATACTAAAATTGAGTGTAGATGAAATCATTAGCATATTTTCTTTTAAGGTAAATGTGTCGCCATATTAATAAATTAATTCTATTGATATTTTAAAAAAAAACACCTATCAGTTGAACATTTATATAGATATTTGATATGTACTATCAGGTTCTTATTGTCTGAAATTAAAAGTACATTCTGTATAGACTTTTGGTTTTGAAATATTAGATATTTTCCCAGGATCGGTTGAGTGAATTAGAAGCAACATATGGAACCAATCGCTGGTCCCAAGCTCTACCAACCCAGCCCGGTCCTGGCATGGCCACCCAGTTAATAGGGATGGTCTGGTAATGGTCAATTTGTTATAGCTTATTCCAAATCATATGGCTCATAAATTTTTCACAAGTTGTTGGACATTTATATCATATAACATTCCGAAACAGAACAGGAGACAGCAGTGAAGTAATTAGTTAACATCTCATTAGTGGCTCACAAAAACATGGATAGTCACACAAGTCCTGTGGAATATTTTCTGATCGCTTGCTTCACTGGTGACCATAGTGGGCTCTGTAGGTCAGTAAACTAGAACCTCCTCTAAAACAGGTGGCCATTCTGATCTGGTAAATAATTACTGCCATCAACCACCAACCTTCACAAATGTATGTACATGTGTTTCTAGACCTAGATACATTAAAACAAATATTGAACTATCTCATACCCTCCTGTCAACATCTTTCTGTCTATGACTCCCAGAATAACTTCTGTCTGTCTATGACTCCCAGAATAACTTCT